TAGAATTCTCAGCTGTCTAATCGCAGTTCTGTTAACACTTTCGACACGTAATTGCTAACAGCAGTGTAAAAACCTATACAAATTCTGAATTATAGTCTCCAAAGTTTCTACTTTATGCACAATTTGTTGGTGTTGGTTTTTGGGATCTGGCAGTGAAATTAAGTTTCTTGAAATCGCAGTCTGCAGTGTATTTTATTTGCCCACAGCCTCGTCAGAAGTACGTCAGTACGTCAGTAATTTATTAATTTTCAGAAACTGGATACATCTTCCAGGCTATTCTGTAAAACTATACGTTTTGCTGTTTTGAGTTACCACCACCGCAACTGCTGCTTAATCAACAATATCCTACTCATCTCTTTCTTGATCTGTAAATTCTTTCAGTGTTGAGATATATATCGTGCTTTCTATTAAAAATTCGTATTCATTGATGACCGTGTCAATTTGAGAGGATTATGGGTGACAGCCGATTCGTTGTTACACCGATTTGTATCTTATAGAAAATTAGTTCGTTTTAATTCGTTTGTTTGCAGTTCTTTCAAAACCGTCAGGCATAATGTCTTATATGCAATGACCCGTACAGCACAGAATCGAAAAAAGAATAGGAATAATCATCCATCATTGGTGCGGTGTGCTTCCACTCACTTTAATTAGGTACGTCTATTGTACTGTTATGAAACAAACCCATACGCCGTCCCGGTACGACGCCTATGGGTTTTCTATGTGCGGCTATGATGGGTGACTCATTGTCGGTGACGGCGGGCGGGCGGTGTTCGCTAAAGCAAAGCCTGGAAGCGGAAGTCGCTATGGCCATTCTAGAAAGACCTCGATCACGAAACCTCTAGAAAGGCAGGATGGGGTTAAATAGAGGCCACCTTCGGAAACGAGGATTATTAGTCATTCGAGTCGAGTCCAGCGACTGTTGAGAGAAGCCATCTCGATCAATGTAACAGTATGTTCATTTTTGATTTTAGTTTCAAGTTTTGTGTTATTTATGACGGTTATGAAGTACTTACCAATTTCAACTGAGTCTTGTTAAATATACATCCAAATAAATGTATTGCGATCTTCGAGAATAAAATTGTCATAATAGCGGACATACGAAATGCTAATGAGTTTTTCGCGGAAGTCTTACTGAAATTTGCAATACCCTTAGTAGATAAAATTTCCGTAAACTTCTGTCTTCTGTCCGAAAGCATAATATTCTCAAATTTTTGAAAACTCTGCTCACAATTTCTTAGGAATTTGTGGCGTCTATGAATTTTTTTCGTAAATATATTTATGGTACACGTAGAATGCAATGATGTAATTAGGTTATTAGGATCTGTCAGGAGTCAGGACTTTTTTACCACACGTCATTTTGTGAAAAAATAGATATATTTACAAATTTAATTTTGCCATTACAAGCTAACGACGAAAATGTTTTGTAATTAGAAATTATTTGGGAAGTAGCTGTTTGTACCCACTGTCACTGCAGTTCCACTAGCAATGTAGTAGCATTATATACATGTTATCAAATTGGTGCGAACGTATCAGTTGTGAAATTAACAACAGAATTAGGTCCACTTAGACGGTTTACAACACATTCCATAAATCCTGCCAAAGGATTATTATTCGACTAAAATGGTTCAGTTTGTTAGTTTTCAATATAACGTCTAATGTAGTGTTAATTCTGATGTGAAATGTTTGACTCCATTACCAGATTTTTATGTTGTACATTGTGCTACAATCCCCACATTTTCTTTCCAATGTAGAGCATATTTACACAGACAAGAAATTGTGGGGAGTGTCTTCCTTTCTCTTTAGATCCAGTGATTATTATTGAAACCGATGGCATAGATCTGGCAGTACCAGTGGTTATAAGAAATATCTGCTAGCAAGGAGTCAAGTACATAGGCTGTCAATTTTAGATATTTCGAAAAACTGTCATTTTTATCAAATGAAAATTGTAAATTCACTGATGGTTCGTCTCCTAATATCTTTATATGTTTATAACATCGATTAGAACTTTTAAAAACTATTTAGAATATTATTTTTTGACTTGCTTTTTAAATGTGCTTCGTATTCTGAGACTTTTAAAGTAGTAGACAAAACTTACCGACAAAGTGGATTCGCAACAATACCCTACGCTTGATTTGTCAAAAGCTTTGGGCACTACATTTAAGTCTCAAAATAAAATCACACAAAAGACAGACACGATGTGGATTTACACATTCCTTTGACGTTAAGTGACACTAAACTACATACATTTCTACCACATTAAACCACCCACGTCTCCTAAAAATGTTCATGAAAAAGACGTTTGTGTGTGACTACAGCTGGGAATTAATGTAGTTCGTATTTTTACTTTGATTGTCAAGATTGACAAATATTGTAAGAAACATGGTGATTGTTAACTTAATTTAAAAAGTAGAAAAGTACACCAAATAAAGGAACTAAGAAATGAAAGTTATGATCTCAAAAATAACCTTTTGAAATAAATACACAAAACACAAAAACGAAACACATAGATGTCAAACATATAAGGGTCGAATAAAAAGCATAGAGCTGAAGTTTATTCGTATTAGCCGATTCAGTTACCGAGGACAAGCAATAAAAAATTTCAGGCTGTCCGCCGGTATCGATTTCTTACGTATAAATACTAAAGCGACCTAAAAACTGCCAGTAGTAGGCCTGTTAAGTTAATTGTCTTAGAAATAAATAAAGTCGCTTCCAGCAAGCTTAAATTCGACAGTGTTTGTTTGAACATTTCTGATTTTTACTTCTCGAGCATAAAATAAAGAAGTATTGTAATCCAGTCCATCGGGCGACTGTTACTTTCATATTTTCTCGATGGTTCTATGACCTACAGAGTACGAAAACATAGGTCTACGATTTCCGTCTGTCTGTCTGCCTGTCTGTCCGCCATCCGTATGGATTTTTATTAGACAGATCATCTCTGAAACTACCGCGCCGAATGTTGTAAAATTTTATGTGTATTACGAATATCATGTAGACGGTAGAACGCTAACCAAACTTCCGAAAATGTGCAAAATATGTTGATCCTATACTTGTAATTTATCATGGCCTTCCTGTTTTTAGAATTTCTCATACAGTGCCTCAAAAAAATTAATGAATGAGTTAATTGATTTCATGGATTAAATCAGGAAGTGCAAAATCGAATGGTTTCAAATCTTGCAGATGTTTTAAAACTATCTTAAAAGTAGTAAAATATATCTTTTATGCCTCCCAAAAAATTAAAAATCTTAATAAATTAATGATCTTAAAATTTTACCGAATCAATCCTATTGCAAATATGGAGAATAGTGTATTTTTGTGATTTATCACTGGCTTCATATTTTAAGAATTGTTTATTCAGGAGGACTCAAAGAAATTAATAAATGAGTCAATTCATTTTATAGATTAAATCTGGGATTCTAAAACTCAATGTTTCGAAATTTTGCATACGTTTTAAAATTATCGTAGAAAGCACGGTAATTTTTTAATAAAAATGTGTCTGTTTATCCCCCCAAAAAATTGATGATGTCATCTCAAAATTTTACGGAATAAATTCTATCGAAAATGTGCAAATATTATGAGTCTATAGTTGTGATTATCTTCAAATTTTTAGAAGTGCTTATCCAGGGTGACTCAAAAAATTAGTGAATGACTCAATTTACTTTGTGGATTAAAGTAGGAACTACATAATCGAATGCTTTGAAATCTTGAAGATGTTTCAACGCTATCGCAAGCAGGGTACACTTTTAATCAAAATACATATGTCTAACCACCCTACCTCATTTTTTGGTCAGATAAAATAAATTTCATAAAATCAAGCACTCTCTAATTTTTTATTGATCAAATTGAGAACGAATCACCCCATTTTCTCGAAAATGTGAGAATAGGCACGTCTTTATTTAATAATGATTAAATAAGAACAATAATAATAATAATCAGAACATTTTGTTTGATTGTGGCTTAATTAATAATTTTAATTCTCTGATTTGAGGTGACAAACTCATTCAAATCAAACTAATTTATACGTGATACTCATCCGATGTATAAGCATAAACACTTCATGTTGTTATTATTGGTGAGAGGCCATTGTTACTTATTAAGCGTCAGCTAAAGAAAGTACGCCTGGTGGACGTGATTAAATTATTTTGTTATTTAGTTGATTAAATCAAGAATCAAGAACGGCTCACTCCATTTTCCCAAAAATTTGGGAATACAGTACTGTTATTGTCATCTATCCAAATTGCTATACAGGGTTGCTGAAAAGTATGGAAGCAGTTGAATACTGCGAGAACGCTTTATAACAATTTGAAATTTGGTAAAGTGGCCGTCATAATAAGCTGAACGCCTCAAGCGCTCAATAAACGCCTAACCACAGCTTATAGATGCCATAAATTTGGGCCGGATGCCGCATGCCATTCAGTTGGTACAGGGTAGTACTTAAATAAGAGATATGCTGTGCCCAAACATTGTTTTGAACGCAAGATGTATCACCGGTAGGAGTATTTATAAACTTGCTTAGAAATTTTTCTGATTACATCCCTGTTCCGCAAGGGCCCACAAGTGGAGAGTAATAAAAATTATAACCATCCTAATCACTGCAATGAGTGGCAGCACGACCGCGCCCCAGGAAGCATTCGATAAAATTTGACGGCCACTATACACAAGTAAAAGTATTTGAACTGTATCCTTATTAACAACATTAATCAAAATTCCATTAACATTTGTTTTGGAAATACAATGCCAACTTAATTTTTTTTAAATAGCACCAGGGGTCAAATTTAATTTTTTTTTAAAAAAGCTTTTTTTCTGCAGTCAGTAATGGAACACATTTCAGTTAAGTGTGTTATTTTTATAATTATTATTAATTTTTATTTAATTTTTCTGTCAACCCACAAGTGGTAAGGAACATTTCCTAAGACAAATAAATTTCACATTTTCCAGATTTTATTATTTTAATGTTTTTTTATTTTTAGTGCAAATAAAGAAAGGCATCTGTTACACCATGGCCGACTTCATTAATATACACTAACGTGTATATACGGCCGTTTCAATTTTTGATTTTCCATTAGAAAAAATGTTCCGCCGCCTAGTGCATATTGTGGCGCCCTCAAACGACAGATCTCGTGCTATTTCTGTCAAATTAATTGTCGAGTTGAAACTGACATTGACAACAAATTTTACTCGAAGCATAAAAAAAAGCAGTTTGGTTCAGATAATAAGGTTTTTTTTTAATTTTATCACAAAACACAGTAAGTAAAACAATAATATTAACGTAAAGTTACAATTTCAATACTTTTCCACTTTTAGGTTTAAAATTTAATGCAAATCTCTTGACAGAATCTGTGGTCTCCAAGCAAAGATTGCTGAGAACTGGCTTTACAGTCGTTTTGATTATATATTTGCACACAGAATCCCTGTGATTTGCACAGACGAAAATGGGATTTTGCACAAGGTGTGGATACAGTTCTTCAAGTATGTATTTACCAGGATTATCATGTTGTAGAAATGGCAACATTTGCTGGATGCTTTCAGCTATCAGCTGAATAATACCAACAAAGATATCTTTGGGATAGACTAAACCTCCTCGGTTTTGAATGGCAATCAATTGTAGCAAAGGACCTGGAATGCTAGTACATAATAGAGGTGTTAAACATTCATCACAATGAAATAAATCTTCTAATTTTTTTATTATGTATCCTGCCAAGAAAGCTACTGATGCTGAGAAAATATTATTATCAGGTATGATGCACTTCTTAAGATTGTGAATATTTCTTCGTACTTCAATTTGAAATATGAGTTGTTCTGTGTGCTTAGTAAAGCTCTCTCTGTTTTCTTGTAAATTTAAAATATTTGCAGGACTAATATAGTTAACATTTTCAGCAGTGTTTGAGGAATGGGAAGCTTTAACAATCCCACAACGAAGAATTTGCCTTAATGCATAATCTGCAGCTCTGGCATCTGTGGCATCATTAGAACCACCTTTCAGTCTTACATGTGAAAACATGGCCTCTACTGCGTCTGAGCTGAAGGATCGCGTTACAACATAATAGAAGCCAACCTGGCTTAGCAAAAAATTTACACAGAGGTATGTGCTTTTTGCCGTGAATTGTAACGCATGAGCTGTTTCCTTAGTAAGACCTTTAAATCCAACATCTACAGAAGTCTTCTGGATATCGTCAATATACTTCGGAAATGTGACATTTAACCAGTCAAGACGTTCATCTGAAATATGCACATATGGTGCAATACTGCTATCTAGTGAACGAAGATAGTGATCTCTGCTTGAAACATTATGCACCTGAAAAAAATGGTACATGTTTTCCATATAGAATATAGAGGCATCAGCGTCTACAAAGCGATCGTCCCCTGCAGCTTTTAGAAATTTTAAAGAAGAGGTTACAGTAGGTGAAAAAACTTGGATTGCTCTTAGGACATTCATTTTTTCAAAGTTTGATGGAAATAGATGCTTCTTTGTTAAATATCTGACAGGCTTTACTGGCATTCCCTTCTGCAAATCATACAATAATTTGAGGTAACATGATGAAATTTTGCCTTGAGAAGAATACATATCATGGTCTAAAAACAAATTTCGTGCATTTTTTAGAGCATGGCAGAAATCGAAACTCAAAAATAGTGGAATATGTTCCAGAATGGGATGATTAATGGAATTTTTCAGTGATCCGTTTCCAAATTTTTTAAAGAGGGCGACATTTGTTGAAATATTGTCTGTAACAAATCTAATCACAATGTAGCCGCAGTTTGTCAGAAGTTGTAAAATGTTTTTTGTTAATAAATATAATTCCTGAGTTGTTAACGACGAGTGGAAAAAATACCCTGCTGGTATTGTATATCTAGTACTCAATCCCTGCACCACAAAACAAAGCATCTTGTTGGCTACATTTGGCTTAGTTCCAACACGAGTAGAACTTGTTGTCTCTAAGCCATAAATTCGATCTTCTGCCCTACAGTAATGAACTTTTTCTTTTATGGACATGTCGTCCATTATTAAGGAGCAGATCCTTTCAACTGGCTTTTTTAATTGACCAATTTCTGCACACAATCGCTCTTGGATCAGCTTATTTTGACCATGAAAGTCTCCAAGGAATCTGGATATAGTCGATTTTGAAGGCAGTTTTAGTAAGTTATTGTGGCAAAATCTGTAACCTTTAGGCGAACAAAATCTCCAGACAGTACACAGACGAAGAGACATTTCTGACCACCTAGGTATTTTTTTATAGTGATTTTTTATCAAGTCCAAAAGAAATATTGACTTTTCATCTGCGTTGTTTGCGTCTTCTATAATTTTGGTTATTTTTAAAGCATCCAAATTTTTTACTTTTTCTTCTAACTCTCTCATTTTTGATAAACATTCAGAATTCTTTCGTTTCATTCTACTCAATTGTTGCTTTAAAACTTTGTTGTGGTACCTGAGATCTTTAAGTTCTTGTTTATCCTTTGCACTTAAATCATCACATGTGGAAACATTAGTTTCCTTATTAGCATTTTGGAATGAGGAAACGGAAGTTGGATGAGTGTCTTCTAAAAAAGGATTTGTTGGTTGGGTACTAGAAATGTCAGGATCAGTAGGATTCTGGAATGATGACAAAGATTTATAGATTATGTGAGGTACGTAGATTTTTATGTACATACGAATATAAACGGAACCGCTTGTTTATTAAGACGAGTACTTTTTGCGCTTCTAACAATACATTCTGTTGCAAAATGTTTGGAACACACAACAGTATGATCGTTTATCTTGGTCAGATCTAAAATAATTCGAATAAAATATTTTTTGAGGAACTTGTTTTATGAAATACCACAAAATTTTGAAAGTGATTCAAACCATTTGTTTCTAAGATCTACTTCCGCAGGAATTCCAAAAAGTGGATTCTGTGTATTACCACAAATCATACACTTTCTTCCCATATTATAAAGACCTAGTTTTATTAACAACGATAATAATTCATGCCCAAAATTATTTTGGATTTGAAAATTGTCAAAGAAAATTTCTGACAGTAGTGACAGTTTAGTTCAAGACATTGCCGTGGGTGGCGTATGCTTATGTACCCATGGATTACTACGCGGGAACAAATTTTTAAGAAATTGAAACGGCCGTATATACACGTTAGTGTATATTAATGAAGTCGGCCATGGTTACACACAAATACATTTTTCAAAAAATATTAAATTTGGCCCATCACCCCATTTAAAAAACCCAAGTTGGCATTGTATATCCAAAATAAATGTTGATGGAAATTTTAATAATATTTTAGAGGATAGAGTTCAAATACTTTTACTTGCGTACGAAATTACAATGATTCTTTTTAAACCGTTCTCCGGGTATTCGACTGCTTGCATACTTTTTAGCAACCCTGTAGGTACGTGTCTTTGCAAAAATGTTGATGATGTCATCACAATATTTTGTAATGGAAAAACTCACTTGAAACAAAGGCATAGCACCCTTCTTTACCTTTACTTGAACATTACACACATATCTTTATTTTACTTGTAAGGGTTATCATAACAAAATAAAATTCGTAAAATCAAATCTTATCACTTTTCGAAATAGCTGGATTTGATGTATTGTACTTCATGGGCCAGGAAATTTCTGTCGAAATAATCTTCGACCAATTTTTTTTAATTATTCTTTTTGATTAACAATAGTTTTGAGATTTGAGATTTTCAAAGTCACGTCATTGGCATTCATTTAAAAAGTGAATACTAGACGAAATGTCACGATGATGTTATTGTAACATTATATTTATGTTACAATACTAATACTAGATACATTCTAACGGGTTGTTATTTAAAAATAGGTTTTACAAAAGTCGCATCTTTGACAGTCTCTATTAATTTTCGTTTTCGTCTTAAAAATTAACTATTGTTTTTTAAGTGTTAGAAATTTGCTATTTGTATTTAAAATGTTCCTGTTGTGAGTTGTAGATCCTTGTAACGGTATTTTTCTTATTAATCAATTAATTTTTATATCCATCGCGTAAACTACGATGATATTATAACAGCCACTTGATGAATTGCTAATTTAATGTTTTACCATGGTCCATAGCTCCAAGATATGAAAAACGAAGTCTTTGTTTCAGTCTGCCTGTTGTGTGTCGTTCGCCTGCTGCAATATTTATTAAACACGTAATTTTCGAAACTAATGAGGTTGATTGCTGTAAAACTATTCTATAGATGTTTAAACAGTTTTTTTCTTCTTCCCCTCAACAATCTGATGACGTCACCTTTTTAGATAAATTGTTTCTAAATTTTATAAAATACTTAATACGCTTCCATGCTTATTAATTGGTCTTTATTTTTTACCTTTGATATCTATATAAAAAAAAAAAAACAAAACTGTACTAGAAAATTTAGAAATTTATCTCATAAATGTTTTTCAATTGAAATTTTATAAACTCCTCATGGTTGTCGTAAGCAGGGTAATCGTATGCAAAATATTATGCGTGTGATTTATCAATTCATCTTAGGAACTATTAAAACAACTGCTTCGAAATTTAGGACATGCTTTGAGATTATCATCATGATGATACATCGCCAGCTGAAATTTGTACTTTTATGCTCATTAAAATTTTGATCCGAAACTACTAGAGTGATGGTTGCGAAATTTTAGATGTATTTATGAATATCGTTTAGTTGGTAAAATGCTAACCAAAATGTAACTTTTTTTTATGAAATTGTATAATATTGAATATTATCTAAAATGGCATCATCCAGAGCAGCACATGCTTTTCCTAATCACGTAACGTTGACTTTATGTCAAGTTGAAGCAAGCCCCATTAGCCTTTGTTGCAAGTTTTGTAGTTATTAAATAATAGGCGGCTTTTCATAGATTGAGTTAGTTCTGAATTACACTAAAACTTCTGAGCTAAAATTTGGTAACGACGACTTTTTTACCAAAAGTTTATAAAAAAAATGATACTGGATTATGCTTTGACCATAACTGTATAGAAAAATATTATGAAAAATTATGGTTCTTAACAACTTTTATCAATTTATTGTTACAGTACATTGGTTTATCTTCACATTTGGTTGTGACCAAGTTTTTAATTTTGGAACTGTTTTTCGAAGCATTTTATCATGAAGCTGTTTTGTTGAAGGTTATTTTGTCAGCTACAAGTAACTTGTTAGGAGCTACTCTGTCCGAAGATATTTTCATAGCATAAGATAATCGTCTGCATTAATACGCATAACTCGGGTTCGTTTCCGTACCTCCCCATGAGTTAAAATATAACTGATCGTAAAGTGTATATATATACGCATTTATACATCATGCTCTGATATCAATTTATACATCCCAGAGAACGAAATCCTAAATTTCGTTAATATATCAGTGGCGACGGCTCCAGCGAAGTTCCCCGGAGGCGTAATTACCATCCCGGTCGACATGAAGTTAATCAGACCAGGTCGACACCATCATGCACAAACACCGTCACGTATATTTTTTTGTGTCTCGCGTGCATATTTGCACCAGCATGCTGTCAACGATACGGTATCTCTTCGACTATTTGCGAATTTCGCCGCGGTCATGAGAACGACCAAGGGAATATATGGTGGCCATTTACGGAATGAAGCGCCTCTACAAATAAAAATGTTATCCTCCGGTGGCCAATAAATTATGATGAAAAGGCTTGTTACATTCGGAGCGGCGGGTGTTCGAGCAGCGCAATCGAAACTGAATTCGATTCGAACAGCTCTAATATTGCATCTAATACGAGACTGCATTAATGCAGTTCTTTATCAACTGTTCAAACGTGCGTTCCGCGCAAACGTAAACGTTTTTGCCGTTCCTTCTAATTACTCCATGCGGTGCAATATTGATAGCTAATTAGCGGAAAATGGGGAGTGCGATTGTGCATTAACAATGTTGCGTAGAAGTCGTCGAAAACTTCAAAGTATTTCTGGCAGGGCCTTAATTACTTATTTAACATTTTATTGCCTGCGTAATGGTGCAGTATTTGCTCCCGGCTTTATTTTATCGCCTGATCTTTGTAGAATGGCCTGAAACTACCATATTACCAAAGTTTTTATAGAGCCAACTAATCTTAGAACTGCCCTGTATAGTTTAATCCCTCAGGAATATTTCTTTAAGTGTTTCTCGTACTTTTGGAGTTAATTTGTGCTGTGTCTTATACAAGTTACGAAATATCTTCCGGGTAACACTAAGCTTTTCCTGGAAGTTTTAGATTCCCTAGCAGAGTTACATGAAATTGACAGTGATTAAAATGTATGGCCGGTCACATTACATTATGATGAGAGTTTGTCATGAATACGCATTTACTTAGCAGTGATATTAGTAAGCAGTATATCAGTTCACCACTGTCACGTTGTTCACGGTGTATATATGTATATATTTTCGTTTGTAATTAACACCGAGATTTGCAGTTTATAATTTATATAGGGTGATTTCGAAATGCGTGCAATAAAAAAATGGGGAATAGCTCACAGCAAGATTTATTGCACTGTGTAAAGTTCACGTTCCTAAGCGCAAATCCTACAAAAGATTATTTGAAAATAAATATAAATTGTTATACACGCCACTGGTAGTGTTTCTTCACGACTAGGATTAAGAATCAAAAAAGCGGACCACTGATCAACAAAGTCCAAAAACACGATAAAGGTCAGTCATGTATCAGTTGGTTGCCGTCGTGTGCTCCGGTAACGTCTTTGATTAGACCAATGGTCAATTTTCCTAATTTAGAGCGGGTGTCGACATGGTAATGCTTTATGGTGTGGCTAATTTAAACGCCAGGTTGTTCTGCGAATTGTGGATCGAGCGCTTTCCAAATTGCACGATTCCGCGTACTCGAACATTCACATCAGTGGTATAGCATCTTCGAGATCATGGTACTTTCAAGCCTCAAAGTCACAATCGACCGAAAAAATACTGCAAGCTGAAGAACAAATTCAGCGCCGAAGAAGAGCCCAACTTCAGCACTCACAGCTGAAGTTGGAGTTTCACAGTTTGTAGTGCATCGAACATTAAAAGAACAAGGCCTACATCCATACCACGTTCAAAAAGTGCAAGCTTTAGAGCCCCCGATTTTCCAAGTCGTGTAAATTACTGCGAATGGTTGTTGGAGCAATGTTAGGAAGACCCTAATTTTTTTCATTGCATTCTGTTTACAGATGAAGCATGATTCACTCGCAATGTCAACAGCCACAACACTTACATTTGGTCCGATGAAAATCCACGCGCTCGTCAAGAAGTACGATTTCAACGACGATTTTCCATAAATGTGTGGACTGGTATCGTAAATGGCCGCTTTGTTAGACCTTATGTTTTACCAAACAGACTAAACGTGGCACAGTACCTCGAGTTTTTAAACAATATGTTGGAAGAGCAGCTAGATGTGGAAGTGCCTCTAAGTGAACGAGTTCTAATCGGGTACTTGCATGATGGAGCACCACCATATTTTGCTAGGCCAGTAACTGAATGGTCAAATAACTATTTTTTTAACCAGTGTGTCGTTAGAAACGGTCCAATAGCTTGGCCGCTGCGTTTACCCGATCTCAATCCGTGTAATTTTTGTCTGTGGGGTTGGATGAAACAGTTAGTTTATGGAAATCAACAGTGTCCAGAAACTATCGAAGAGCTTTAACAATCAGTGGAAGGAGAAGTCGCTACACTTCGTGGAACTTTCAGAGTTTTTTTAAGTATCTATGCAAACATTTTCCGACGTGCTGAAGTCTCTATTGCTAGTCAAGGACAACATGTCTACATTTATTGTAAAAAGGTAGTAGCATCCTAAGTTGCTCTTATTTTTGTTTTAATAAACAATGTGGAATCGTTGTGGCAAGTACCAAACATCTGTCAGAATAAAAAGTATGAAGCATTACCACAAATCGGACCACCATTTGTTTCTACAACTAATAATTTTTCGCACTAACCTTTAACGATGAATGAATGCATGCATGCACGAATGATAACCACCAAAAAGTTGGTTTTTAATTGAAACTGAAAGTTTTACATCGTTTT